TGTATGAAGTTGCTTAGTTCAACTTCTGTCTCTCTAACTCAGGGATATTCTTTGAATTTCTGCATAGGTGACTTCCCAAACCTTTCCCAAATACTACCAGTGTCTGGTGGATTGTAACCTCACAGTGTTACCTGTGCTGTTACTAGAACATGTTTTCTTATCCTGCATTAAACTCCAACCAAATTCCATGAGTTTTGAGAGGGGTGGTTGAAATCAGATGAAGCCACTAAAACAGTGTCTTCTCTGCTCATTAAGGTCATTGTCCCACTATCAAATGCATGCAAATGCCCATCTTGCATTGTAGACTTTGGGGACATACAATGGAAAGAGGTGATGAATGCAGTGCGGTCAAATCCTGGCCAGACAATCCAGGAAATTTGTCACAATGGTTTGTGTTAATACTAGGACATTTTGTCAGGGCAGAATTCACTCACTCATACGAATGTTCCCGTTATAACTAACACATTTAGAAGAAAACAGAGTCACAAACTAATATGAATAGAGAGTAAGGTAGTGAGCAGAGAAGCAGGGTAAGGGTGGAAGATGATTGTATAGCTGATCAAATATGAGAACCAGCACATTCTGCTTTACAGACAAAAGTACCGCTTTCTCTTAATTTGGAGGGTGCAGCTTCTACCATGCTGTGCGGGAGACCACTGAGGAGGCACAGTTTTTCAAGGGGAAGAGTTCAGGCACTGAAGTCAGAAAATTCAGCTCTGCCTGGCACTGCTAGGCTTTCGTGCTTAGTTCTTTCTTCATAGCAGCTATTTCGAACCTTCCTGGTTCTTCTTAAGTTCTGGAGCTTTGCCATCTTAATTCCTCACACTTACCAGGTGCTATTTTTTTCTCTGTATTAAAGAGAGATTGGAATCTCTTGAAGCTACTCCAAGTTCTTCCAGTGTCTATAGATAAACTTACAAATTCCCTCTCCCAGGCTTTCCTTTTGTTAAAATGATCATGCTTAGCTCTTTCTTCATAAGAATAACCCCTCCTGCCTCCTCAGGGTTCTCACTGTCTTGCTGTGACGTCTTCTCCCCTGGATCTTTGATATCTCCCTTTTTATAGACACATTCCCCCAGATTTTGAACCCGCTCAAGTCTCTCTTATTTGAAACACACACGTACACACACACATCTGGAAACTTTCAACCACTCATCTTCCTCCAGGTCTCACTCTACTTCTCACTTTGGCACATCAGTCTCCTCACATGTATTGCCCAACCTGCCTGCTTCTGTGTCCGAATTTCACACTCATTCTTCAACCCAATGCACATTACATTTAACACCACCATTCTTTTGGAACTGTTATCACTAAAGTCATCAAATGCCAGCATTCCTTGAAAAAAGAAATTCTTTTACTATTTAATCATATTTATTGTTATTTTATTACAGTTGTCCCAATTTTCCCCCTTGGCCCTCCTCCGACCATCCCATCCCCCGCTCCCACAATCAATTCCCACTCTGTTGTCTGTGTCTGTGGATCATTGGTACATGTTCTTTGTCTAGTCCCTTCCCCATCTTTGCACCATTATCTCCCCGCCCCCAACCCCTCTGATCACTCTCGGTCTGTTCCATGTTTCTAGGCCTGTGCTTCTATTTTATTTATTACTTTATTTTGTTCATTGGATTCCTCTTCTAGGTGAGATCACATGGTGTTTGTCTTCCACTGACTAGGTTATTTCACTTAGCATAGTATTCTCCCTTCTACTCTGCAAACTGTAAATACACCACAGTTTTCTGATCCACTCATTTACTGATGGGCACTTAGGCTGTTTCCAGCACTTGGCTATTGTAAATAACACTGCTGTGAACACTGGGGTGCATAGGTTCTTTTGAATTGGTGATTCAGGGTTCTTAGGGTATAATCCCAGCAGTGGAATTGCTGGGTCAAAGGGCAGCTCCACTCTTAGTTTTTTGAGAAAATTCCATACCCTTTTCCACAGTGGCTGCACCAGTCTGCATTCCCACCAACAGTAGAAACACAAGAGAAGCCCCTGGCTTGGGGCCCGACATCAGTGCTCTGTCCTTGAGCTCTGTATGTATGGACAGTCCCAAGCACTCCAAACTATTTGTGAGCAAATAACACTAAAGCAAAGGAGAGGAGAGGGAAGATGAGTGTGGGCATTCTGTTTCCACTCCCTGGTGAATGACTCCCAGATTTGGGGGTCATCCTTTAAAGATCCTGGGTAAGCCTTTGTGGCAAGAATCCAATGACTTTTGACCTGTTATTAAAGTGGCTCTGTTTGTCCCCATAAATGAGTTTTCCCCTAATACAGGGGTGCATGTTTTAGCATATTCTATTGTCCTCTCTACCAGATGCTTTAATGTCTCCAGACAAATTTGTAAATCAGAAGTCTGCTTATTTCCTAGCATGCAAAGCTCCACAGACAGATGATCACCAGAATTAGTGGGGTGGTCACCCTCTAATCCTGTATACAGGTGTTGAACTACTACATTGTACACCTGAAATGAATATAACCAGTATAAGACTGTATATCAAATATACTTGAATAAAAATTAAATTAAAAACAAAAACCCACCACAGTTTAGCATACAAATTCTTTTCAATCTAACCCTAACTCCACTTTTACAGCTTTATATTCTGACTCTCCCCTCTCCCGCCATCATTTATGATCTTGCCACATACAGACAAAACACAATTCTCAGTGAGTGTCTGGCTTTTTGCTTCTCCCTCTAAGGTCTCGGTATATGCTATGTTCTCTTTTTGGAAGACAATTTCTCTCCACGTGATGGGTTTCAATGCAGAAAAGACTGCAGAAAACATTCTCTCTGCCAACTCCCTCCACCTTCACTCTAACACAGCTGGGTCAGGAGCTCTCTCCTTTGTCCCCATCCATGACAAGTACAAAGTACATCACACTTGGAACTTACCTCCTCGACAACAGATTATTTGCATGTTTATGTACTCTGTGTCAAGAGCTTTTTGCCTTAGCTGTTTCTTCTACTTGAATGATATTACTCCAGATACTCCGTATGGCTGCCTCCTCACCATTCGTCAATTGTTAATATTACGGTATTTTACAATTTCATACAAGGTAGACCTGCCTGATCTGCAGATACTCCTGACCACTCTCTCTCACATTACCTTACTTTACCTGTATGTGACATTGTCTAATTTATTTGGCTACCAATTGATTGTCTCCCTACAACCAGAAATAAAGGGCCTTGAGAGCAGGGATTGCCAGTTTTATTTATTTCTGCGCCTCCAGCACCTTGACCATGACTAATGTATAGTAACTGCTCAATAAACATATGTTGACTGCCTGTCATCCTCACTAGACAGTGAACCTTTAGAGTGAAAGCTGTGCCTTTGCATGCTCAGCACCTACCACAACGTCTGGCACATGTTACGTGCTAAAATATATGTTAATCAAAGGCATGACATTTTTAATTAGCCAATCAAGAACTGGTTATTCATTGGGAGGTCAAGAAGACACACAGTTCTGTGGGGTATAATCACTGGGGAGAGTGTCCTCCGGAGACTGGCTGGAAGACAGCGAGGAACTGATTCAGGCACCAATAAAAGGAAACCCATGCATTGCACACAGAACAAGTTCAACATATGTTTGTAACATGGACTTAACAAAAAGTGTTTTACACTTCAACACTAATTCACTTTTTTTAAAAAAAATACCGTTTGAAACCTGCCATAGAATCACCTGCTGCTTCATTCAAATGGGGGATGAGTTGCTGCGGGACAGGTGTCTGACAACACGCTAATAGCCAAGTCTATTGAAGGCACAATGTTGACTTTCAGGAGCGCTTTCCTTTTCTTCCTCGCCCTACCCCCGCTTCACAAAAAGAATGCCACTCTCCTGAGAGGATTACAATAGCAGCCCACAAATGAATCCTCTTCCTTTGAGACAAACTAACTGTAGGGGAAAAGATAATTACTTAGTGCCTTTATCTCCAAATTATTTGTAATAGAATCTGAAATCACACCACAAGGTCTTTCATGAGGATGTCATAAATTAAGATGCATTGGCGTATCTGGTGCATCTGTTCCATTCTCTGGCCCTTTGTCTTCTGCAAAGAGCACACCAACCTCAGTACCCAGCAGACAGCCTTTACGCAAATGATGTCGTGGTCTATAGCATTAATATTCAGTGATTGTCTGTCATAGACACCTTACTGTACATCTGTTATGCAAATGTATGTTAATTCCGACTCCCTGACAGCTGCCTAGCTTCCCTCCCTAAAATGATCTTTTCCATTTTGAAGTTTGCAATCTGTTCCCAAAAATGTTATTCCAACAATTAGCTGAAATTGCTAAACAAAAATTGTACATGTTCCGTCTAAAATAGAAGGTAGCATTTAAAAATAGAGGGTGAACCTTGTTCCCATGTTGCTTATTTTCTATGTGCTTCCGCACAGGGTAAGATAAACAGTAATCTCTGCACAGCTTGGCTTGGGGCAAGTGACAGGTTTGCCTATCCCGATCCTAGGAGTTCGACAAGATTGGATGGTATCACCAGTCCTGTCATTAAGGGACTTTGTCCTTAAAGATGTTTTTAGTGATGCACAGAGCTTCTCTCTATGTCTGAAACAGCTTTGTTTTCCCCACCAAAATAATTAGTATCAAGCACTTGGATATCACCAAATGGCAACACAGAGTGTCAATAAAGTGAGTGATGAATGATTGTGGAAGGAGACCTAAAAGAACATCCCATGAGACACAGAACACTGTAGACCATCTTCGTACATGTTGGTGATGTTCAGTGGAGGATGCTTCCACATGTCCTATCTCTGTTCATTTGCAGGAATAGGTGAAGGGCTTTGGAACAGCAATAGAACTATCCATTAGGACCTATACAGGTATTGTGGTGTTTGATAAATTACAATAAACATTTAGTGAACAAATGAGCGCTTGTATCTGACCTGCAGTGGGCTAGTCACCATGCTGGCTGTATGAGTTAAATCTTAACCACATTCTTGTGGGATGAGTACCATAGACAGCCCATTTTAACAGTAGGGATCAAAGTGAGGAGGGACTTCTGCAAATGCACAGAGCTGCTGTGACTCTCACCCAGTGTTTATTTCCAGGTTTTTCTACTGAGAAGAGCACTGCAAACTGGAGAACCATAGACTGAGTGCCGTGAAGAAGTCACAAGTTTCTGCTTTAACGGGGTTTCTGACTCTGACCTCTATTTCTGACTCTGGATATCTGATGCTTGGCCTTCTGGGAAATCTAAAGCCTAACTAAGAGAAATGGACTTTAATCTGCTCTGGTCCAGCCATCCTGAGGACTCAGTTTGTTCGAGGATATTAACAAGTGGAATTCCTCTCTTACCATGGAAGAGTCCATCTCTAATACGATGGTGCTAACCCAGGTGACTCTCAAGGTTCTACTCTAGTCTAACATTGTTTCTTTGTAATTTATTTCTGCATTAGTAATAGGACAATGAATGAGTTAAATATATTAAAAATATCTTGGATACATGATATATTACCTTCACTAATTTTCAATGACTCTATGATTAAGATGGTTATGGTAACACAAACATTCATTAGTTTTCACAGGAGTCTTTTTTTATTATTACTTTAAGAGATTCCAAGGTTTTCAAATGTTATAGTTTCATTTTATTTGCACTTGAGTCCAATAAACTTGATCTTAGATTCCATAATAAGTTACATTTTCTCATTTAAATGCTATAATTGAATAGGATAGGAAGGCAGAATTGTATAAATTATTCTGAGGGAACAAACACAGCTTTATGTCATTTTATTTACATGCTAATGTATTTTTAAGGTAACATGTATACACAACTCATTATAAGGCACTATCTAGTTAAGTTCTAGTGTTGTATATATGAAAACAGGGACATAACGTAGTAAAATATTTTGTCTGACTTCACATAGTTAGTAAGCAGGATAGCTGAGATTTGACCTTATACTGAATCTCTTTTTATATTACAAATCCATATACTATCCTGATTATTATTAAAAAAGTAGAAAATTATAATAAATTGTCAAATATGTTCTCTGAATATTAGGTGGAATAATATATGTGTGTATGTGTGTGTTTGCTGTCTTAACCCAGCGTAGGAGTCCTGGTTAGAAGCTGGTCTGTTCTCCTGACTGAGCAGGCAGTTAGGACCCTCGTCCTCCCCTTTTAGCAGGATCTCACACTTCAGGCCACGACACGCCTGCCTTAATTTTCCCAGGGCCAGCTACTGGGCGGCCAAAGACAGCCCATACCCCAGCACCTGCAGAAATTGTTTACACTGGTCAAGTCTAAAACTTCTTGCTGTGTCTTGCCCATTGCTTCCTGCAGAAACCACAGTAAAAAATGCTGACTCACGGTTCCTCTCTCCCTGCCTTGAGTGCCCCCGGTGCATCCCCATGTGGCCCTGCTTGTCTTGCTGTGTTCTCTCCTGGGAATGCACAATAAAACTGTAAAACTTTTTTTAAAAGATTTTATTTATTTATTTTTAGAGAGGGAAGGGAGGGAGGTAGAGAGAAACATCAATGTGCAGTTGCTGGGGGTCGTGACCTGCAACCCAGACATGTACCCTAACTGGGAATCAAACACTTTGGTTCACAGCCCGCACTCAATCCACTGAGCTATGCCAGCCAGGGATTAAACTTTAGAACTTTTAACTGGTCTCTCTTGACCTACATCCGTCCTCATCATACCTCACTCAAGGTAATCAGGTTAAAATAGCGTGTGAGAATGTCTAGGGATAAGAATCACCTGACTTGATTCAGTCAAAAGCTCTGAAAGGTTGCTGCATCTGGTTAATGACCAGTGAAGAGCGTTATACTCTGAGGCTTGTGTTGCTTATTGAGCTTCTCTGTAAAAAGTTGGCAATAATTTTCAACTCATAAAAGTTGGGTTGAGGTTCCAGTAAAAGGACATATACTACAAAAGCTTAGCACAATGCTTGACTCATATTAGGGTCTTAAAAAGCATGCCTAAAGCAAGAAGAGTGGCAGAGGGGAATACAATTTGTCTCAAAATTTAGAAGTAAGTATATTTTTAAAGGTAACTCATTCCACAAAACTGTTAAGATTTAACTCATGTGACCAGCATAGTGACTGGTCAGATACCATGCTTATTTGTTCTTAGTAGGTTTTCACTGAATGTTTAATGTAACTTATCAATGTATACATAACATATATAATATATATTGATAAGTTATATATATAAATATGTTGATAGGTTGTCTTAACATTTACATACATACATACTGACAAAAGTAGGTTTGCAGTTGTTAGTATGGAAAATAATATTGATACAGTGATTAATAAATAATAGTACAGGAATAAACTCTGTGTTTTGCATTAACACAACTGTAAAATTACTTTTGACCTACCCTATACACACATATGTACATATAAAGAAATGTACATATCTGTGTACATATTTGTGTGTATATTTCTGTTTGCTACTTTACAACAAACTTTTCTATTTATTATCTCCTTTGTTACCCCAAACTCCCTGCTGATGTAAGAAGAACTCCAATGAAGTTTATTTTAAAAACAGGAAAACTGAGGTATAAGATAATTAATTGTGTTTTCTGAGATATCTTGCTTCAACTTAAAAAAAATATTGCTCAGTGGAAAGCTTCGTGGCCATCGATCTAAGCCAAGGTGCATTTCTGGTGGAAGTAAGCAGTGCTGGTTAGTAGGTGCAACTCTGCAGCAGTTAAGAAAACAAGGCAAGGATCTCATTTGTGCATTTCTATGAGAAATCAATCCTTCCTCCTTTCCCCTTCGCAACAATCCATGACACTGAATGATATTTATCATTTCTACCTTTTATTCTGTTTTGTATTGAATAAATTATTTCACAGTACATTTCTCCTGTGATCTTTCCTGTTAAGGATTTGGAGTGGTATTTTGTTGTCTTACCATTTAATCCCTATTCTCTAGGGTTCTGACCAGGGCTGTTATATAAACCATAAACTGTCAGCTAAGAAACAAAGTGTATAGTACTCACAGCTGGGCTTTTATTTCATGACTGGAGGACCCATATTTAATGGAGTATAAGAATCAGGTTTGCAGTTGGAGTCTATTTGCTTATACCAAGTCCTCAATGGATAGAGAAGGCTCAGCCCCATCAGGGGCCACAGAGATCTGCCCCCACCAGAGGAAAAACCTAGCCAAGTCAACTGACAATGAGCAAGGATGATGACCACATGCAGACATGGATGTTTCAGGCCCACCAGTAAAACATGCTCCCTTAATATTCTACACTTACCAATTAGCACCTTCGCTTCCCTTGGGAGAAGCTGCTAATGGAAGGGTGCAGAGGCCACAGCACGAGGCAAGGATCAGAAGCCTCCCTCCAGGAGAGATTCGGGGAATACTCTCTGTTCCCTTTGTTCACAAGAAACTTCGGAGACAGGCATGGTAGAAATTATTATCTACACTTTTTATAGGTAAAGGAAATTTAAACCCAGAGCGATTTTATGACTTGGTTAGAATATTCCTATTGTGAAGAGCCACAGCCAAGCCTCAAAGCCAATTTTTCTGACTTCTGCTTTGCAGGTTCTTTCCACTCCCCAGATGGTGTCTGTGGGCTTGGCTCTCACCTTCAAGCTTCACCGCCCCCGGATGATGGACGGAATTTGCTCTGGGCATCTGAGCCCAAGCGGAGGTGCAGGTGCCAAACTCACTGTGCACTTTCCATCTACTCTTTGCTACAGTTCAATAAAGCAACCCCCCAACACCTGCCCAGTGAGCTGCCTACGTTGAGATTATGATTCATCCCAGAGACAAGGGACAACACGGGAAGCTGCTCTCAGAAGACAAGATCCCTGTGCACGCAGCTGACACGGCCTCCTGGCTGACTCTGGTGTCATGATGGAGTCCTCAGAATGAGAGGGCAGCTGGGGAAAGGACACCGAGTGGAAGTGCAGCCACACCCAAACTCAGCAGTAAGTCTATCCCCACTGTGGATTTGACCTCCATCCCTCTTCTTTAGTGGCACTTTTGCAGCCTTTCGTGGTTTGGAATTTTACACTGCAGTCGGCAGCCTCTTATATGATCCCACTGAAGTCAGTCATTGGTTGGCTAATCAGAAAGGTAAGTTAAATTGTAGAGTCGAAAGCAATGATGCATGACTCCCTTAAATATTTTACTTGAATTGATAACAGAATAATGTCTACCCATTCAGCAATGTTTCAATGTAAAGGCAAGATCTGTGATTTTGATACAGGTCTTCTGATTGGATCGCTACGTTAAATATCCTGTGTAAACCTCGTTCCTAATGAATTTGTTATGACTTCCAGCTTCATTTTCCTTAAAGTGAATTCAAATTTAAAGACATATTTGAGGTAATGGAAATGCAGACTCTTTCTAGATTAAAACTATTTCTTCTCCACTAGTTTATTGAGTCTTGCCACAATTTAATCTGATATGACTTAGCACTATTCATTCTATGCAAAGCATTAGATTAAATTGGTTTTTATAGGAAAGACAGAACAAATAAGTTCCAGTGAGAGGAAGGTGGAGTAGGTTTTATGTCTTTGGTACGGTTGGGTTCATCCCTTTCCAGCAGAATGTGTTTCATCAAAATGCTGTATCTCACTGAATCTTAGTTTCTGGTGACTAGGACAATGATGAGAAACTACCTTGCAAACTATTATGCAGTTTCAAGGAGTTGATGCTTGTGAAAGGTTTAAAAAATGATTACAGAATGTGGGATAAAAGGAGGATGTTACAGGAAGCAATGAGTGGGGCATAAGAATGACTATTCCTTTCTGCAGGATTTCCTCTGGCCACCAGAGACCGGAGCTACAGGCATGGAGACACTAAATAGCCACTTCATAAAGTGATGCTGAATACAAACGAGTGTTGCAGAAGGTGAGTGCCTGAGGCTTCACTAACAGCAAACCTGGGACCAGTGGACAGAGTGAGGTCAGGGTATCCTGTTAGGAGCCAGTTTCCTTCATGTAGCATATACTGGAAGAAGAGCTAGTATCGTAAATTGAGAAAAATCTGTAGTGACTTCCTGAAAGAGAGGAAAGGAAGTCCCTTGACTTGACCAGAGTCAAGAAACATAGTCATGAAACAGGTAGATATGGCCGAGTTTTAGGGACTGACGGATGGTACTTCAGGCAATAATAAAAAGCCAAACAAAGAGATGGTAGTATACATCTTCTCACAGAGAGTGATTAAACACAGCTCAGCTAAGACAATGCTCCTGAGAAGTTTTTTCCACCTTCATTCTTTCTGAGCAAAGTCAGCTTTGAGTTAATCTATGTATCCCCAGCTCTCCATGGGGTGTAAACAGACATGAGTTTGACTCAAAGGGCTGTTTGTTTTTCCAACACAAGAGATTTCTGTGGAGAACAAAATGAATTCAGGAACACGTATAGAATGGGGGGGTGTCATTGGCATTTTAGTGTTTTCATGTAACTTAGCAAGAGCCTAGCTAATTCCATTTTTTTCTAAAAAGCAGAGCTCGGTATAAAGGAGGTAAAATAAATGTGTGAGGAAAAATCCAGCATTCTCTCTTGTTGTATAGTTGGAGGGAATCTATAAACAAGAAGGTGAACATCCCCAGATCCACGCACCAACCATGTGTCTTACCCTCTGATCCAGCATGTGCAGGTTCTTGATTTATAAGATCACTATTCAAGGAAGTTTTCAGAAAGATGTGTTCGGAGATTGTTCCCAAAGGTCCCAGGTCTGGGGAACTGAGTCATTTTTATGTATCAAATTTATCAATAGTTTTAAGTAAGCCACAGCAGGAACTCACCCAAGAGTCTATGGAAAATTGTGAAATTAATAGAACTCATCTCTGGAGCCTTCAGCCTCCATGTTTCATTTTTTTTTTCCTGCCACTCTCATGCCACCTTCCATGTCCCTAGAAGCCCTCTCAACTTTTTCCCTCCTAAAAAACTGAGTTTTCATAAAAATAAATATTTTGATGACCTTGCTAATTTTTTCCTTTTTTAAAGGCTATTTTTGACTGTGACATCAAAGGTATTTTGGGGAAGGCATTTTTTCAAGAGAAGGCAGAAGGTCATCCCAGAGCTCCTAATATCATAGTGTTTCCCACCAGCTCTTCTTAAATGGTACTTGTGGTTTGCTTTGGCACAATGCAGGTATTTAAAATTACACAATTAATGAACAATATGCACAGCTAGGTGTGTGCTCAAAGGTTATTACCAGGGACTTGAGAACAGATACTATGCCGATATTCACAAGAATAGCTGTATGACTAATTACTTTCTCTGTTACTCATACATGCATCATTTCTGCCAAACCTTTCCCAAAATATACTCTGCAGATAATCAATAGATATTAGTAAATATTACTAGATCGTCTTTACCCTTGGAGGACAGGTCTTTGTTACAACAAAAGTTGACCATGTTTCACAATGATTACTCTTCCCTTACTCTTGACAAGACAACTTGGGAATTTTTTCTCAGGTCTTCTTTGTTCAGCCATCTTGGGATTCCTGGAGGTTAAATCCAGGAAATTGTGTGTCTCTCCTTAAGCCTGTTATCCCAAAGAGATTCTCTCTCATGCTAATCTGCACTCAGCCTCTAGCAATTAGTTAAAAACACTATTTAAATTTCTTTACCAGTTATGGCTCCATGGCTTTCTGCTCTAGGTAAGTAGATCTCAGCTGTGAGTTTCTGGATGGGTCATCTGTCTAGATTTTAGGATAGTAGTATGTCAGGTGACTTCAGTTCAATGACAGGTTCAACAAATGTCATTGATAGTTTGTTTTGCTATGTCTTGCTGTAAAGGTGGAAGTCACAATTTCCAAAGTTTGTTACATGTTGGAATTGAAACCAAAAGTGATTTCTATAGTTTCTTGATAATATTTTCAATGAATATAGAATTCAGATCTGACTTTTTCTCTTTCAGCATGCTCAATATTTCATTCCATTGTTTTCCTGCTTACATGATTTCTGATGAAAGTCTGCTGTAATTCTTATGAATGTTTCTCTCTGTAATGTCTATTTTTTTTCTGGCTATCTTCAAGATTTTCTCTTTGTGGATTTCAGCAATATGATTATGATAGAACTAGGTGTAGTTGTATTAGTACTTATCATGTTTTATGTTCTCAGACCTTAGATCTGTGGTTAGTGTCTGCTAATAATTTTGGGAATTTCACAGTCATTATTTCTTTAAATTTGTCTTTTATTCTCCACCTGTTATTTCAGTTCCATATGTTAGACTATTTTATATTGTACCTCATTTCTCTGATGTTCTGCTCTATTTTTTTCCTTAATAGTTTTCTTTTTGTATTTCAATTTGGTTAATTTCTGTTCATTTCTTTTAAGCTCATGTCTTCTTTACTTGATTGTATTCGGTCTACTGGCAAGTCCATTAGAAGCATTCTCCATATCTGTTACTGTGATTTTGGTATTTTATTTTAAATATCACAATTTTATTTTTATTCATATTACTTTCATTTCTGATGGCATTACATATCTGACCTTCTATTTTGTCCTCTATTTTTTTGTAATACAGGCTTTAACGTGCAAATCATAGTTATTTAAAAATTTTTGTCTAATAATTTCAACATCTGTGAATATACAAGTCTAGTTTCAATGTTTACTTGTCTCTTCAGACTATGTTTAGTCAGCTTCTGTCTATGCTTCAAAGTTGTTTTTTCTTTTTTTTATCAAAAGAATAGTGTATTGTGTAAGGCAGTAGGTACTGACACAAAAATTTTTATGCTTGGAGATAAAATTCCTTTTCTTCTCCTGTTTTTTAAGAGAGTGTGTTGTGCTAACATACTCAGGAGTCGAACTAGGTTTGGAGTTTTCTCTTACCTTGTTTTTGACTCTCTTCATAAGCTCCTGAGTCTTTCTTTTTCTGTGCTCCCAGAGAATTTCTGTCTCCTGAAGCTCCCTCTCCTGTGTTCTAATATTTGTTTTACTTAATGCTTGCCAGTGTGTGGGAAAATGTCCTGGGGAATACTCTGGTGTTTTAATTACACCTTAGTATTCAGCTCTGTGAACCTGAACCTTGAAAGTGTGATCTTTTCCAGTGTCCTCTCCCTTCTCCCAATGTAATACTGTCTTGCATTTCTTTTTCCTGATTTCCCAGGGATGGGGTTTTGTTTTCTGTTCCTTTCCCCCAATGGAATTTCCACCAATGCCTTCAGGCTAAAGTTTGGTTACTTTGCTTTATGCAGGTCAAGTGTATTGTTTCATAGGGGAGAGTGGCTACAGGACTGGACAGAATGTCAGCAGTAACTCCTGTGCCTCTCCCCTTCCCAGTCCATGGTGAAAGCTTTCTTGGATTCTCTCCACATCTTCATTGTGAGAAGCTGGTGAAACAGCTGGAGAGAGTGTATAAATAGCTTTATGTTTGTGGCTCAGAGCAGCTTCACACTCCCACAAATCTATACTTAGTCTTTAGAATTCATTAAAAATGTTTAGTTGATTCTTCTTATCAGTGCATATGGCATTCAGTAACAATGTCCCAAGCAAGTAAAGGCCTAAGTCCTGTTTTTCATTACTAATATCTGTCTCTCTCCATATTTTAGGTTATTTTTTTTGTGACAGTAGCTCTCTGATAAAACAAATGCACAAACAAATACACTTGCTTGCTGAGCAGTTTCCTTATCTTAAGGGTGGAAAAGATGCTTGTTCTAGTTATCACTGACCAATTGCTGGCCATTCACTTTTGACTTTACATTTTGACTTTTCTTTATTCAATCTGCCATGGTTTACTCCTTTTCCCATATAATGATTAGCAGGTTCCCTAATTCAGACCCTTGATTGCCTATGTGCCTCACTTTATCCCCAAAGCAGAGTACAGACATCCAGGTTTTCTAAAAATCTATTCTCTTTTTGGCATTCTATTCTTTATGTGATATTGCCATTGCTTATATTGCCATCTGGGTTACAAATTTATAATTCCATAAATTTTGTATACCTATTATCTCACAGGAGTCAATGCAAAGCACAGTACAGAAACAATAAATTAAGTTGACACAGTTCTTACCCCTGAGGAGGCCACATTCTAATCAATAATATAATGTATACATACACCTGACACAAAACTTACCATGTAAAGTTTGAACGAGAGAAACAGAGTGTTTTAGGAACCCAGTTTTATATGTGGATAACAAAATGTGTGCATTAAAAATATGCATGCAGTTTGTATTTTAAGTAAATATATAACAAATATATTAATGTAAATATAATAATATAGAATACTATGTATTTACTTTAAATTGTTTTCTGTCATTTTACATATATGATCATGTGGCTATGATTTTTTTTTCTGTAATTTGTTTCATGTAGGGTTTTAGTGAGAATATTTGAGACACCATTAGTAGACAAATCTGAGCCAGAAACAAATCAAACTCTGCATGCTTACAGCAGTCATTTTGAAACATCCCTGTGATCTGAGAAACTCAAAAAACATTGGACTTTGAAAGACTGGTTTGAAATTATACTCCAGAATTTTGATATTTTTGAGAATGCAAGTGAGATGGGAGGAAGGAGGATGGGCAGTATATTGGTAATTTTTAATAGCTAAGCAAAGTCTTGATTTTCTTAAAAAAAAAAACAACCCTTTTTTCAAATAGGGAAGGACATTTCTGTTAGTCTAGTTGATATTGGAGAGACTATTCCTGGGAAGGCACTCTTGAGCCACGTTAGAAATATTGTTGGCAATAAGAATGATGCAGCGATTACTGCTAAGGTGTAGAGATTCACAGAGACATGTATTTCCAACAGGATGCCCTGCACACAACTACTAGACATTCACAGAATAAGGCTTCTTCCTGGGAACACATCTTATCTTCAGAGTAATGGTTATATTTGGGGAAAGGGAGAAAATGGGCTCAGGGAGAACAAAAAAAAAGCAATAACTACACATATTGATGTTAATTAAAAGGTCTAAATTAAGCTTATCAGAATTATCACATGTTAAATTTCTTTGTTGGGTACATTATCATATTATCCTGTACAGTTCTCTGCATGTTTGAAATATTTTAAATACAACTATGAAGAACCCAGAGCTACTTCAAGTTTCTGATCCCACTTGTACGTGGAGCACTGGTTTTCTGGTGAGCTGCGAATTAGCATGAAGAAAATATAGGCTTGCACAAACATTCCTGTGTTCAAACACAGAGGAGCATGATTATATTGAATACCCATTCAAACTGGCCAAAACTACAAATCCTATCGGCCATGAGGTGGCCGCATGGGGCAGGAGCAGATGGAGCAGTAGTTCGGCATGGCTTTCCTCAGTCCTCAGAACCCCTGGAGGCTTCTCAAGGCTGTCTGTGTCACTCTCTCTGCAAAGGTGGGTATCACAGGGTGCGTAAAGTTCATTTCTTACTAAAGCATTGTCCTTTTTACACATGACCTTTTAGCATGATTCTAGAAGTTATTCCAATAACACTGAATGTGCTTTTTTTTTTTTTTTTGAAAAGAAATGTTCTCTGATGCTGAGTCTTTGTCTTTCTAGAACCAAGCTCTGGGTCTGCAAGGTTATATACTTCTTCAGAAGAGAGCACTGTGCCACTGTCCCAGGAGAACTGTACCATCAAGTCTTTCAAGCCCTTTCACAGCCTTTTAAGCTGAAGGTTAGCAGGGGACGTGGTAGACTCTTTCAGAGGAATTTTGAATCCCTATGTCGTTTCGTAGAAACATAAAAACAATACAGATCTTTAAACATAATGTACATATGGCATGATTCTAGTCTGTCAAAAACTGTGTTTTGGTAGAAGACTAGGAAGATATCTGAATGAACACATTACAGCTATTATATCTCCATGGTGACTTTATCAACATATTTTCATTGCTCATTTTGTATTTTTAAAATTATTAAAGAATCTTATGTTTTATAATAAAAACTATATTATTATATAGAAATGTATAAATAATGTAGATATTTAACATAATATAAAGACTTTATTAAAACAGAAAAATCTCTGTATTACTTATATGGCCTATAAGTGTATAGAATTTAATAAAATAGGAACTAAATGTCTTGTCATAATTTGCTTTTAAGTTTAAGGAAGGCATTGGCATTAGAAATATCTATTGTGCCTATTTCATTGTGATAAGCAATGGCAAGTTTTACATTTAAGCCTTGTCTTTTTAGTTTCTTTTTGTTTTTTGTTTTTTTGTTTTTTCCAGAATGGCAGTATTTGAAAAAATCAGCACTCATGATCTCCTTTGTCTTCAAGACCATATTCTACAAAACCGACTTCTTTTTGAAGACCTAGGAGGATGCAGTGATGTGGATGACGCTGAGAGGCGGGAGGAAGACGGTGACCATTGCCACCATGCATGAGCACCATCTGGATGGGACTGGGCTCCTCTGTAGACCACAGCCCTTCAGTCACCCCTCATCACAGATCCAGACCGGACAGATGTCTAATACAAACAGCCACCTGGAAGCATAACTCTGCCCAAACCCAGCTGAGCTTTCGTTCTCTGGTATTCTGATAACCAGGGGCTCTTCTCCTGATGTTGACTTCTGAATTCCCTGACTTACGATTATTCTTAGGGGCTGTCAGCCAAGGCTCCAGTGACTTCCAAAAACCGGTATCATTGGATGCATTCAAGTCTTTCCTGAGCTCCCCGTTTCACTGTTCATTGCTTTTCCAATTCTTTCTCCAAACCACATTTATTTCCAGGCACTCTCCTCCATTCATTCTTAAATCTCAGTATTTAAACTCCTGAGTGTATTTACATTGAAATGGAGTGCTGAAGCCTTTTGGTATTTGAAAAAGCATTTGAGGTTTTTAATGAACTTTTCAAAGATTCTTGAATTGATGCTTTGCCAAGAATAGGACTACTCGAAACAACAGGAGGTTTGGGTTCAATTTCAAACTACCCGGGCACCGATCCAGGGCAAACTGGAGCCTTCAAAAATCTGCAGGTGTTCCCTTGCCCCTTAGCCTCACACTCAAGGGCTTTGTTGATGGGACTCTGCCTCCCTTGTCAAGCTCATCTCTAACCCTACAGAAGACCCCTGGGCCTGCCTGCTCTTCCCCAGATGACATTTCCATGATCTGTGTCTTGCCTGTTACTTTCCCCTTTGCCTGGGACTTCTTTCCCATTTTTGTCAACTGCCATTCCAAAATCCATGGGCTAAGTTTAAAATCAACCTCATCGTGAAACTTTATTTTGCCTGTGGAAGATTTGGAAAAAGTACATACATTAGTTCCCCAAATGCTTGATTTGATTTTTTACATGATCCCTCAGAAGCCATAGAACTAAGGAAACTGTAATACAATTCTATCTTCATAAGAGAAAGCTTGCGACTTCTTTCACACATGTCTTCTGTGTAAACAAAGTCATGTTTATGAAGCTCTTGAGGTGTAATCGGTGTATCTGTAACTCTGGAAGTTAGGAAACTTATCTACTCTCTCTACCCCAGAAGTCGTATCTGAGTCACAGGTGTAGTAATAAGCATTCCTGAAGATACTGTGAGGGGGATTAATTGAGGAAATCTGTGTAGAATCTTAGAATACCATTTAGCAAAATTTCATTATATTTATTAACAAATATTCTCTTCTCTTCTCCATGCTTATTTGAATTAGCTCTGTATAGAAGTTCAGGCACCTGTGCAGTTTCTTTGCCTTCTCCAAACATTATCTATTACTTAATAACAGGGACCATATTCTCACAAGGCCAAAGACCGTGGTACATATAAACTTTTAATACATTATATACATAATGCAATCAAATGAAACCTAAGAAAAACATGTTTTGGTCTATTTTTTATGGCTCCATGCTTGCTATTGTCTCAAAACTTCAACAAATAAAACCACTAAAGAATGTGAACAACAAAGTTTGACACTGAAATGAAAATTTATACAGGAGAATACTACTCGGCCATAAAAAAGAAGGAAATCTCATCTTTTGGGACAGCATTGATGGACCTGGAGAGTATTATGCTAAGCCAGCCAGAGAAAGACAAGTATGATTTCATTCATATGTGGAATATCATAAACAAAGTGGAAACAGAGTCATGGATACAGAGTACAGACTGACAGTTGTCAGAAGGGAGCGGTGGGGCTGGGTGAAAAAGCGAAGGGATTAAAGAAAGAAAAAAAAGCTCCTAGGCACAGACAACAGTACGGCGATTACCAGAGGGAAAGGAGGCTATCGGGGAAAGAGGAAGGAGGTAAAGGAAGATAAACAGTAATGGAAGGAAACTTGACTTGAGGTTGTAAACACAATGCAATATACAAATGATGTGTCGTAGAGTTATATGCCTGACACCTATATAATTTTATTAACCAATGCCACCCTGATACATTTTTAAAGATCACAATCACCTATCTCCTACTCCACTACTTCTTTTCAAAAATGGAAAAAGTCCCCCACATATCATGCTGCTTTCTTTAACTTTTGACTGCTTTATTTTTGTTTGGAAAACAGACCACAATAGTGTGTGTGTTATTGACAGATGACTCCCCCCCCAATTTAGATGAAAGAACTGAAATATTGGTATTTGATTGAGCATACTGAGCTGTTCCCAGCAAAGACTTTTGATCTTGAGTAGACCTGCCAGGACTCTGTATTCCAGATTGATAGATGATATCACATTTTCAGCATCACATTTTCATTATTTTTTGTTCTCCTGTTCTATGTGCCAAACCACCATTAAATCACAGATACTAAATGTTGAATAAATTGAAACATCTATGAATTAGAAATGAGTTCTTTTCCTTTTTATTCACTTTCTCATCCAATGCTACATTTTTCATCATTCATCTGGTCTTCTCAATCTCTCATTAAATCTTTATTTTGATTTTTCTTTAGGTTCCTCACATGTTGAAGGAGATGGCAACAAAATGGCTTTGAGCTTTGAGCCAGAAAACCTGGTCTCGGTCTGATGTGCTGTCCGCTTTCTTTGTGACCTTGAGGTCAGGTCCTGTTTTCCTCACCTTTCAAAAAACACAATGTGCCACTTTGTCCCTAAATTCCTTGCAACTCTATTATTTCTGATTTTTTTAATCTAAAGATTTGCCCCTTTAGGACACTATTCTGAAAAAATGAATCTTTTCCTGACTTTTTATAAAATATTGGCAAGTAATTTAATTAAGTCTCTGTCTTTATTTTATGCCCAGGATTGTTTTAAAGATGAAATAACTAATAAGCATTATATATCTTAGCATAATCTTCCTTCTCTTCAGATTCTTCTTTTGTTTTACCTCCTCCTCTTTCTTTTTACCATCCTTGTTTTTATTCTTTCTTATTCCAAAACCCTCTTTGATTCTTCCATTATTTCATATCAAGTTTAATTCATTAGTAAGATTTTTCATAAATTTATTCAATAGGTTATATAGCCACAATGGGCCAGACACTGGGTTATTTTGTTGTTTTGGAAGGCCCAATAAATAAAGTTGTCATTCTCTGCCTGACCTTGAAATTAGTTGAGAAATAGGTTAAAGAAACTGAGAGATGAAGACCAAAACATCTTGATAAAGCTGTTAGATCTTACTTTTAGCCTATTAGCCAAGTGACCAAAAGGGAAAGTAATATTTCCACACACCCTTTCCAATTCATCCATCAGCTGAGCCCTCTCTCTGCTGCTGGGGAGACAGGAAGTGTGAGAGAAGAGTTGGGGTGGGGACAGGATGTTACTCACACAGGTCCTGCCCCAGAGCAACATGGGCAGTGGCAGGGGGTGGGGGGGCGGCATGTCTAGTGTTGACTACCACAAGGGACTGGAGCCATGGCAGTAAATAAAAGAGCCAGAACATCACTCTTATGGAGTTAACAGGTTTTTGAAGATAGAGGGTGAAATATAGTTAGAATGTGCCAGTATGTAATATAGAAATAAAGCACGCCATAGGAATGTAAGAAAGGGAAGCTTACCTCCTCAGGGGAATCAAAGAAAGCTTGTCTAAGAAGTATCACATAATCGGAGGTCTGATGATTGGAATGAACAGGACAAAGAGCTAGCTGATGAGATGAGAAGAGTGTTCCAAGCCATAGGAAAAGCACAAGGAATTTTGTGGCCCATTCGGAGAGCTGAAGTATGACCAGAGACTGGATGATGAAGGTGAATGGCACTAGAAGAGGTGAAAGAGCAGGAGAGGCAGAGCCCAGATCTTGTAAGTTAGAACTTAGGTTACACCATAATGACAAGGAGAGGGCACTGAAGGATTTTCAGCATCTGTTAAACACCCATATGAAGATGTCCATTTAACAGCTGAGTCTGGACATCTGAAGAGAAGAATGCATGGCATATTTAAACCGGAAAATCATTGGCAAATACATTATTACTGACTCTCGGGAAATGAATATAATTGCCTACTGAGGACACATTGTGAGACCAGAGCAGAGTCTGTGAATGACCTCTGAGAATCTCCGACGTTTAATGAATGACTGGGTAGGGAGAGCTGGAGGGCTGGGTTCACATCAGGAGCCAGAGAACAGAGTGCCCGGAGAGAGAGAGAGCCTCACTGCCGGATGCTGCCGAAACGTCCAGTAGGAGGAGGACTGAAAACACTACGCAAAGCCGCCTTAACCTGCATCCGTTTTTCTTCTAGTCCACAACAGGAAAGAAAGAGATACAGTTTTCCTCCTTTTCCTACATCTCATTTCTTCATTGTTCATTTATAGATTTCTCCTAAAATATTTTGGGTAAACATTTTGTATCACAAACATTCTTAAACCCAGGCCAAGTCTGGCTTCCCCACACCCACAGCTCTTTGAAATTATTTGGTTGATGTCACCAGTGACAGATATTAGGTGAGTTTGTGAATTAGTGATAGAAATTTCCAATATTTTCAGTTTAAAGTACAAGAAAGTGATACCTATTAAGAGTGAGAAGATAGTGGAGGCATCTGACTTTTCAAGGATTGGAAGAGCAGGGTAACTAGAAATACACATTAAGATATTTCTGGGCAGGGTTTAAATTCTAACGGAGATTAAGTTCAATTATTTCACAGTGTTGAGACTCATCTGGTTGGAGGCTCCATGGATTGCACAAAGGTGAGAATTGGGGGAGTTCAATTCTATGTAGATGAGTGGAACTAGATTTTTGGTGGTGATCATGATGTAGCAAATACAGATCCTGCTTTATAACACTGTGCACCTGAAACTTGTATAAATTTATAAACCAATGTTACCTCAATAGAAATAAATTTTAAAAAGATAAAGCATTGGAATTTACCCATCTTCAGAATTTTTCAACTAGATATATAATAAATAAGTGAAATGCCAGAAGCGTACATGTGAAGTTTAGTGCAGACATGGGTATAAAAAGAGGGGTTTTAAAATACAACCTGGATACAGTCATAGTAAATGTAGTTTCTTGTAGGTTTGAAGACATCGATATTCTGATGAGGTAAAAAGTTACATGTAGATTAGCAGGTGCACTGTAAGGTGAGTAGATTTTTAAAAATTTTTTTATTTTATTTTAATTGTTGTTCAAGTACAGTTTTCTGCCTTTTACCCCCATCCCAGCCCACCCCCCCAGCCCTCCCCACCTCCCCCGTTTCCACCAGGTGAGCGGATTTTGAAGAGGAAGTGTGGGATCTGTATCTGCAGGCTCAGAGGCAGAGCAGTTCCCAAGTGTACGTACCATGTTGTTGGATGGCCCTGGGAGATGATAGTTAAGAAGGAATGGAAGGCAGGATGAGACAGAGGTGTATGAAGGAACATTCACATTAATATTCTTCTATGCCCTTTAGTTGTAGAGCAGCATGTGCGTTAGGTGAAATATTGCAAAGACTTCAATGAGTAGAAACATATATCTTTCCCCACGTTCCTCTCTCCATCATGTGTTAGTAAATCCTGTTTCTCTCCGTGGAGACGGCTCTGATTGGAGGGCTAGGGGTGCCTGTCTCATCAAATATATGTCAGGAAGAGGGAAACAGCTTTGGTTATTGTCATGAAGATGGTGGTACTTCTCTCATCACCATTGCAGCAGACAAATTCGATATCCTTGTCCCTGAATTCTGGTCTCTCACCTTAGCAATGGGCACTTCAAGGGATGTTTTCCAAAGGGTGAATTAGGGTGAATGTAGCTGATGGCAACATGTTTAAGGTGAGTGGGTGAGACCACAGGGGCAAGGCAGAGTACCATGGATTCTGTCAGACAGTCTTGCAGAGCACACTGGTGGGGCAGTAGGTAAGATTTACCTTGTATTCTCCCTTAGGATAGAGAATGCTGGTAGCTGAGAGCATGAGTAAGGAAACCCAGTGAAGTCCCAAGTGCATCTCTTTACTGATAGGTATATCCAGCTAATATCTTAGTTTCGGGCTTGTGTGGTAGGGGCGAATGTAATTATAATTAATTAATTAATTGGTTAGACAAATAAAATATAGTTAAAGAGAACCATGCAAGATTTAATGATAATAAGTGCCCTATGAACCAAAAATTATGATAAGTCAATCACGTAAACTTGATCTCTAAAAATATAAATAATTAAAAAGAAGCTGTTCTTCACCTGCAACACTGGCACAAAGCCAACACATGGGGGATGTTTATGCAGTGATAATGAACTTGCAGGTGTATTTTAAGCACAATGCAGATGAGTGTGCATAGTATGCATGCATAATATATAACATTTACATAAAAATGGTGGAAAAAGGAAATAAAGACATGGTTAGATATTTATAAAATATTTCAGAAAAAATAAAGATACTTAAAGAATTAGGCAACACTGATTACCTCCATCTGGCCATCTCCTTTGAATATTGAAATACGTGGATATTACTGGATTAACTATAGAAGACATAAAACATGGTCAGTCAAGAGAGAGAAATCTCCATCAGCTTTATGTATTGCAGAGGTTTTCTTCTCTTCATCTTTCATACTTTTTTATTCTTTCCTTTTCCTTTCCTTGTTCTTTCTTTCTCCTGTTTTCTTTTGTCCTGTCTTCCCCTCTCCCACTTTCCTTCTTCCTCCATTTCTCTTCATTACTTTCCAACTTCATAGCTGACAGATTATGAGGC